GAGTCTTCCTGCACAATCTCCTCCATCACCTGATACATTCAGATGCTCATCCTGCTTCAGTTTCCTCATCCCAATAGGTAAAATCTCATTTGACTTGAACAAAACTCAGATGACCGCATGTATATATGTATATGCATATGTATCTACATGGATAAAACTTTAGTCAAGTTACTTATATACTCCTCCGGTCCTAATTATAAGACCCAATTGACTTATTTGAGGAGATTAAGGAAGTAAGTTAAGTTGGTTATTTATAATAAATAAGTGTTGTCATTCCTAAAATATCCTTGCTAATTAAGTATATTGGCTAAAACTATCATTATTAGAAGGATTATCTTGGAAAAAAATACATAAATATAAGAGATAAAATGAATTGGGGTCTTATAATTAGGACCAAATAAAAATTCAAATTGGGTCTTATAATAAGGACCGGAGGAGTACTACCCCTAGTCTCTAATATAAGAGCTAGTTGATTAATTTGAGTAGATTAAGAAAATTAATTACATTAGTTATTTGTCATAAATATGTGTTGTTTTTCCTAAAATATTTTTACTAATCAAATGTATTGGTTAGAACTACTATTATTATAAGGACTATCTTGAAAAAAAAAAGATAAATATGAGAAACAAAATGGATTGAGATCTTATATTTAGGACCAAAATAAAAGTAAAATGAGCTCTTATATTAAAGACCCGAGGTAGTATATTAGGTTAAGTTTTTCAATTACACATGTTATTTTGCTATTGTTAGTTGTTAAGATGCGTATATGCACTTGAAAATCCACCTATGAATTTGACATAATAAATATAAGTAACTTAAGTTTAATCCTATATATATATATATATAGAGAGAGAGAGAGAGAGAGCACTCGTTCATTTTTAACAAGATACAAAAGTACTATCCCTTTAAGGCTTGCTCGAACTGGCTTATAAGCAGCTTTTTAATCATGATTTTCGAAATATGAGGTAAACATGTGAGAGAAGTTTTGTCTTGGCTTATATGAACGTGTTTATTCATCGTAAATCTAAAGAAGACCTTTGGCTGTCAAGGAACTATTGATTTGCAACTAGATTTGAATATTGTCAGATGCTCATCACTTATCAATATTCTCATATTCAATATGACTTGGGTTAAAAATTTCTCTGCGTTTATCAACAGGTAGTTGGCTCTTCCCTGAGCGGGCACATGGCAATGAAGTGTCAACTAGTCAAGGTGAAGTATTTCCTTAATGCATCTAACTTATTGGGCAATTCACATGCATGTTTGGTGATTTCTTGAATGATCTTACTCTCTGAAAAGTGTTAATAACAAGATTTTTACAATTCTAATTTATCGTTTGAATTGAGAATAGGAGATGGTCTCCTTTCTGTATGATGCTTTTTGTAACAGTATCTACTGCTTAATACATCTCCCTGATACTAGAATGATACATTATTGTCTACTTTTGCTGTTGAAAATCAATTTTTGCAGGAGGTCAACAGTCACCAGATCACTCTCAGGAAGAACTGAGTGATGAAAGAACTAAAGCTGGACGAGAAATTACAACTCAGGGTCCTGATCAAGTTAAAACTGGAGCTAATTCAGGAAAACAAATCCTGCAACCTCATCGCGTGATGAATGATGGAGCAAATGAAGCATCCAATGAAGAAGAAGATCATAAAACCAGAGGTCCGCATTTATTTTTGAAGAATAAGTCCTGGTCGTTTAATGTTCATGAACTATGTTACCAAAGAATTTAATTTTTGTTCAGTGTCATATGTAGGAACGATAGAGCCTAGGAAATCATTCTCTATTCACGGAGAACTAGTAGTCTTTCTTGTTTTCTACAGTACTGTTCTCATTTCTAGTCATTACTTTTTTCACATGGTCTGCATATCTAGGAAGTAATCTCGATTGTAATATCAAATGCCAGATTCTTCAAATATCTGCGGTGAAATCCCACCAGATGAACATGACCAGGATGCATCAAGGAGCAGACAACCGCTGCAGCTCGAAGAGGTTAAAGTTGATGACAGAATCTCAGGTTTGGCATCGATCAATTGTTTTGACATTTTTCACCAATCAATCCTGCAATCGTATCTGATTATGACTACTTCACAACTTAAAAATTATGCTCTCTTAATATATTGCAATGAAATGATGTAGTGTGTTCCTGGAACAGCAGTTCCTCGGAGCACAACATTACCTACGACGACACGAACAGATGTAGTTCAGGAATCAGGAAATAGCACGACATGGGAAATTCGGAAAAGCATTGTGTATGGTGGTCTGAATGAATCTATAGCAAGCCTTAGCATTGTGACATCTTCAGCAAGTTCGGATGCTACCACATGTAAGACTTAGTCTTACCTCAAACTTCATTTCTTTTCTCTCCCTTTGCTTCCAAAATGATTATTCAAGAGTGCTACCGAATCAATGTTCTGTTTGTAATAACTAATGTGGATTGAACACTAAAGATGATAGTTTAATTTACATAATTACTCAATATTAGTAATAATAATAATAATAATAATGCATAACATCATTAAATTAACTATATCACGTTATAGTTAAATTGATTGCTACTTTAGCCTCATAATTTTATGGAAAGAGAAAGATCTCTACTGACCTCTCTCTCTAATTTCTCTCTATTTAATGTTTCTATCACTAAATTAGATTTCAATGGCTAAGATTTATTTTAAAAGAATATTATTAAAATATTAAATAATAAAAAGTATATAAATAAATATATACTGATAAAAATTTGATATAAATAGTTTAAAATGGTAAATTTTTATTATATGTAATATTATAATAATATTTTTACTCAATTTTAAATCTCAACCATTAAAAGATTAAGATATAAGTTTAACCTACAAATAACCATTTCACAATACATCTGGCACAGTTAACAATACCTGAAGAGCTTTACATGTACACATAACAAAGTAGCAGGCATTGGAGTTGAATATGCCTTTTACATCGACAAAGAACTTCTATTGCTGGCTAACTCATTGACCTAATGGTATTCTTGTATTCACCAATTTGAATTTGCAGTGAACGTTCTAGTTCTGTCTCTTGCAAACCTGATCGGTGGCCTTTTCATCCTTGTTCATAATGTGAGTTACTTCCAACGCATGCATTTTTCTGTTTGTTTAACAACATGATACATTTATTTTGGAGCTATACGTCTGTATATTTCAGTCATTTCTGGAGCTACTTCTCTCTCTCTCTCTCTCTCTCTCACACACACACATCAAATGTCAAGAAAGCCGGGTATAATAATTGGAAAGAAGAGGGGCTATCAAGTGTTTCTTTTTTGCTTAAAAAAAAAAAAGTTTATGTGAGTTGGTCTCGGAAGCTTATCAAAACTAAAACATACCTCCATGTTTAAAAAGTACTTACAAATCGTTTCACCGACACAATACTTACACTTGCAACGGATTTAAATTCATAATTTTATGGGTCAAGAGTCAACTACTTACCAACGGAATCAACCTTAGCCGGCAGCATCAAGTGTTAGTTAATCAAAATACATACACCATTCATCATATTCAATGTCTGTATATACATACACACACATGTATGTATACATGTTTCTTGAATTCGAAACTTGAACACATATGTTGACAGATATGGGACCTGAAATCTGAGGAACCAAAAACCAGCAATCAAACAAATGCACACGCCGATCGATATTATGAGCAGGTCTTGGGGAAGAGAGAGAATTTGTTTCTTCATGTGTGCATAGCCGTACTATCATTCATCATATTTGGGTTGGTGCCACCACTGGTATATACCTTTACATTCTGTGAGAGCAACAATGAGAATTTGAAGCTGGCAGCAGTTGCAGGAGCTTCTGCAATTTGCATCACTCTCCTTTCACTCGCAAAAGCTCACATCCAGAGGCCAAATACATATCTCACATATTTCAAAACAGTGCTTTACTATCTTGGCACTGGGGCTATGGCTTCAATAGTTTCTAACTTAGCTGGTGAATTATTCAAGAACTTGTTGAAAAGCTTGGATGGTAATTAAGGAGCTTGTTGAAAAGCTTTGATGGTTTGACCCACCTCGAGTTTTTACCCTCCTGCTTCCTGAGATGACTATAGGGGGAACCAGATTTGGATCCTACAAATAAGTATTAAAACTAAAGGTTCAAGTGCATTTTAGAGGGTGCCACGCCAATTGTTGAATTATGTATCAAAAAGAATTTGGTTCTATTTTTTCAAGTAGTCATATTTCTTATGATGAAATATTGTGAAGTGGTGTGGGAAGAAATGCTTTTTCTTTACCCCTTTTATCGCCAACATGAGAAGAGATGTTGATTCTTTTTTCCCATGCGGTCACAACGCTATCATTATGTGGGAATTAGGACCAGTAATTTGTGGACCATAGCAATAAATTAGGGTTTAATTAGGTATCTGATTAAAGCCTCATAGTTGTCTTTTTCTTTTTCTTTTTTTTGGTGACAATTAGTACTTGTCTTCAAATATACATTCAGTCACTGTACTATTGATTATTGAATTAACATGGTTGGCCTTCGTTTTTTTGAGTGAAACATGGTTAACCTTTAACTGCTGCCTGCTGATTTTTTATTATTGAATTATCTTCCTAAAAATAAGCATTGGTCTCTTTATTTAGATGATCTTGGAAACATCTAAGCTGTCCCCCTTAATTTTGCTCATTCATTCAAGGGGTGTCGTAATATGAGTTCTCTGGCCTCAGTACGGATATCCTGCCTGTGAGGCAACAACATGAAAAAGATGTATAAATAATGTCAAGAATTAGATAATGATGCAGGGTAAACACACACGAACCAACAAAGGCAAAGGAGATTTGAAAAATTAAAATTGACATTAAGCTTTCTTCCTGTTAAATTTACTATGTGATTTTCACTTTAATAATTATCAAGTTAGAATAAAATTGTCATGACAAATATACTGGTGAGAATTCTCAGTCAGATAATTGTGATCAACCAGGTTCTAAATTTGCTGCACCAGGTTCATGAGATCATTGCTTCAGCTGCCATTGACATCAATTCCTCTTTGCTTCAAATAGCTCTTGGCCTCAACAATGTCCTGAAAACATCTCAAGTAAGCAAGCATTTCTGTGATAATGTTGAACTTAAGACCTTGGAATATCCAGTGCAGAATGAAAAGGCATACCTGCTGCAACAGCAGGGCCTCTTGAGGACAGGTAGGAAATTGCATGAGACCTACTCCAACCATTAATAAGCCATAGCATCCTAAAGACACAACACAATAGATAGGTAGCTGGACAGAAGGTATAAACAAGGCATTATGAGTAGTAGACAGAATATATTCTACTAAAAGGTAAAGAAAACACATGAAAACATGAGCACTCACCAACCAAGTATGGCTGCTTGGAATGGTAGAAGTTTGTAAAAGGCCAACCCATACAGTGGTAATGGCCATTAATAATGTTATAATCTTCACAATATGCTTCATTTTTTCAATCTGCAACCAGTCTTGAAACCTGAATATTTCAACAGAAAAGAAGAGGAAAGAGAAAAACCTCATAATTATTAAATCCTTTTCTATGGTTTTCTCTATATCTGAAACAGCATTTACTTTCAAATGCTTCAAGTTGAGACATAAAATGTGGGTTTCAATGAAGAATGCCAATCATAACACGATGCAATCAGACATCAAACCTATGCACAACGCCCATGACAATAACACTAGACAATAACCTGCATGTTGAAGGCGTTCAAAAAAAGAGCTAGAACACCATGAATACGACAAAAATAGTTAAAAGGAAAACTTGCGAAGTACTGCACAACAACTAAGAACGCTGCTAATACTGATAGAACAGCAGAGCACTCTTTATTTTCAAAACCTGCAGCCATAGGTCAGGTTAAATATCATACTAAAATATAACCGGTCACACACCAAAACTGCCATCAGATGGGATCTCAATGAAACTTTTTTCACTGTTATAATGACTATGATAGTCAAATATAACTCAAAGCCCTTGCGCAATCTCCCGGCATCATTTGGCAGTTTCAAGCAGATATACCACTCCTTAACAGAATCCATACCGCTTGATTAATGTGAACATAAACATTAAACATTTAAATTCATTTAGAATAAGCATAGCCGTAAACCAGATAACATGCATATTGAAGGTTTTCAAACACCAAGATGAAAATATCTAACAATCCTTTTTTTTTTTTGGCCAAACATCTAACAATCCCATGAAAAGTGATAGGAAAGGGAAATTTTGTGAAGCTCTCCACCACATCTAAGAACTCTTTTGCAGAAAGCAGACTACAATAATCACAAGCCATAAATAACGTAGCTTATTCCTCAGGTTGGTCCATGCCATACCCAGGTATTGACTAGTTATTTTCAAAATCTGCAGCAAAGACTAAGGTTAGATGTCATTATTAAATGTAGGTTACAATGAATGAACATTTTGTCCGTATAGTTCCCCAAAATTTTAACTTGGTCCCAACACTTAATTTTCTGGTCACTTGGACCCTATACTCCCTAACATCAGTACTATGAAATGCCGTAAAATTTGGGATTTGGATAGAATTAAAAGGGGCATAACGGTTTCTCCACTTTCTTTTCTGATGCGGCAATGTATTGGTGACTTGGAGAGCCGCATGGATTAGGTGAATTGCCACATAAAGTTGACCGCATTTTTATAGACGCTGACAGCAGAGGGTGTTTTACAAATATTTTGTACCTATAGGGCGCAAGATACAAAGAATAAAGAGCGGAGGACCAAATCACAAATTTAGTGAAACCGTAGGGATCAGGAGTTCATTCTAACCTCAAATATATGTCAAAGCATTTGCAACTGCCATCAGATGGGGTCTCAGTGAAAGTTTTTTCATTGTTCACGATGATTACGAAAGTTAAAATATAACTCAAAGCCCTTGCGCAATCTCCCAGCATCATGTGGCAGTTTAATGCAGAAATAGTAACACTCACGGACAAAATATATACCGCTCAATTAATGTAATCATAAACATGCAAAACTTTCTTTTGTTATTCATTGATTCCATTCATTTCTCAGATCAGGAGAGTTTAAAATCTTGATACTTTCTTTCAAATCCCTCTTTTGATTCCTCTTCATTATCCTAATAAGAAAAGGTTTCGTCTTAATAAGCCTATTTAAACTCTAAAGCGCCTTAAAAGACCCAGCCTTCTTTTCCTCAAACAGCAATACGAATACGATCCCGCGCACGCGCGCACATACACTTTACAGTACTAATCCCTCCCCTTCTGCTTTGTTATGCATTTCCCTGTTGATCATCTTCCCACTTTACGCATACCAAATGCACAAACAGAACAACCACAAACAATAACCAGAGCAACACAATATCATGCCATATTTCGATATATGGGAACATGTATAATCTTGCCCCTTACAGAATCGAAGATGAAAACCAACCAAAAAAAAACCTTTTCAGGGGAAGACACTTTCCCGTCGACGGAGGGATGCTTGTGATTTGTGATGAAGATGGATAATCTCTACAAAGGTGTCTGCTACAGTGTGGCGGCGTTCCCTGACTTGGCTAGGTCTTCCCGACACACAAGTTTCTGCCGCCTGATGTATTAGGACGTTGGAGCGCGAAAAAGCATGAAATGCGTTTGAAGAGGGGAAAATATAATGGGGACTCGATTTTGGAAAAGTTAGAGATAAATCCCTTATTAAAAATTTAATTAGTAAATAGGATTTAGGATGATTGATTGCACAAGAAAAGATTAATTGCACACAAAAGATGATAAATTGCACAAAGAAAAGATAGTTTGCGCAGAATATTATTTGAATATAAGGAATTAGTTCGCACATAAGAGAAGATGACTTGCACATAAGAGAAGTTCATTTGCACAAAGAAAAATTGAGTTGCGCATCGTACAAAAAAAGATCATTGCACACAAATAAAGATACATTGTACACAAGGAAAGATAAGTTGCACAAAAAGAAGTTAAGTTGCACAAAATCTTTATATCCCATTTGCCAATTAAATTTTCAATGGAGAATTTATCCCTAATTTTCCCCTTGTTTTTTATGTTTTATAATCATTTTACTGACAACCTTATAATCACTTAAAAAAAAATCTTTTATGCTCCTGGAGATAAAATTTGGTTACATAATTTTCTATATACTACCTCTAGTCTTATTTATAAGATATAAATAGGGTATAAGACCGGAGGTAGTAGCTTTCAGTGAGTTACCTGTGCTTAGATTATTGTTAATATTTCAGGAGAAAAACTTGCGGTTGTATTCGAACCCTGGGAGAGACAATATGTCTCAAACGGCAAACGCCATGTGTAGGTCGAGGATTCAATATATTTTCAATTTGAATTATTTCAGTTCTTATAAAATTTAGATAATAGACTCCAATAAGTCCAACTTAATAAGCTTGATATATTGATCATGCATGCTTACTTATGGTAAAGTAAGTATTTTAAACCCCTTCAAACGTTGGCCAAAGAAAAATAAAAATAACACTCTTCAAACGACCTTTTTTTTTTTTGGGTTTCTTGGGCTTACTTTTTAACAAACAAATGCAATTTATTAATGGCAACAAGCGGCGAACATCACAAGCCGGCACCATAGCATTTTTGAAGAGGACTTCATCAATTATGGAAATGGAGGAACCATAGCATTTTTGAAGAGGACTTCATCAAACCTCCTGACCCAGTTTCAGTCATCTATCAGACATGGAAGAATTATGTTCAGATTCAAGATATTGACATGCCTACACACTTGCCTATTAATAAGAATACTGTATGGTCTCCACCTCCGATGGGATGGGTCAAGGTAAACGTAGATGGAGCGATGAGTGCTTCAAGCAACAAGGCAGGATGTGGTTGTGTTGTTCGGGATTATGATGGACAATGGATTGCTGGATTTACTTATTTTCTGGGCTATTGCAGTGCCTTTGAAGCTGAGGAATGGAGCATTCTTAAAGGTCTCCAATTAGCTTGGGACCTTGGTTTCAGAAAGGTAATCTTAGAGTCAGATGCAAAAAATCTTGTGAATATGCTGGAGAATAGAAACAGATGCGTGGGAACAAGTTTGGTCTTCGTCCAGATTCAAAGATTAACGGAATATTCATGGGACTTGAAAATACAAGCTATTTCAAGAGAACAAAACAAATTGGCTGATGCTTTGGCCAAAGAAGGATTGTCTAGAACTTCCTCATTGGATGCTTGTCCGCCATAGCTGAGGATGCTGGTTTGCAGAGAGTCTTTGGGATCTGATTTCCCCATGATTTAGTCTTTTTTTATTTGGGCTCTAGCCCTCTCTTGTAGCAAAAAAAAAAAAAAAAAAAACCACAAGCCAGCAAAACAACACTGTCAAATACATCAGAGTACATTGACAATGCTCATTCGATCAACCATATTTAATTGCTCCTTGTTCAGTATTAATCAAATTAAATTAGGTTAATATAATTTTTTATCTTTTAGATTTGTTTTTATTTTGGTTTTGGTCCCTCAATTTTCTTTTCATTTAAAGCACAAATCCCTATAATCTATAAAAATTTGGACTATTTTGAAGGAAAAACACCATGATTTAGTACTTGGGGGACCAAAATTAAAATAAAAACAAACTTAAGAAACCAAAAGTTATATTAACCCATTTAAATTCAATCTGAATCATTTAAAATCAGCTGGATAGTCCAGATTGTGATTGAGCATGAAATGTGCTCCCAGTCAATTGTGTATTGTGATTGAAAGAAAAAACTAGCTACTTGTCAGTGACATTTCTATGCATTTATATCTTTCAGTTTTAAATATCCATCCCTAGTAAACATGACAGATATGAGAAATTTGTCCAAATTCCATTATTAAAAAAACTAATTTTGTAAAAGTATTTGAAATTTGTTTTAAAACCAACACGCAAGCTATTTTTAGAGGATGCCAAATTTTTTAAAGTTATATGTAATTTATTTTTAATTTATAAAATGAAAGACATTTATATACAATTATAAAATAGGTGCATCCTCTGAAAATGAGTTATGCGTCACTAAAAAGCCTAGATGTTTATACATCTTCACACAATTAATTTTTCTAATAATTAAACTATTTTGAAGGAACAAAACCTATCATTTAAAACTTGAGAGACCAAAACAGGATGATGCCAAAACTAGCACTCCATTGGACCGGACCCATCCCATTTTTTGCATAAGCTGCAATGAAATCTGCAGCATAATTTCCCTGTCCTGCAACCAGGGAAAGCTCTACATGAGGCCTTGTACCTAGCAACTTCAGAACTTCAGTGAATTTATTCACACATTGCCACTCAGTCTTAGCTATTAAATGACTGGTAGCAGCTACATATAGCTCCTGGCAATCAGTCTCAAGATAAATTTTAGGATAATGAAAATGATCGCTCAAGAGAATAGCTTCTTTCAGAGCAAGGCATTCTGACTAAAAGGGAGAGGATGCCTTTGCTATCTTGCACACATTACCAAGAAGCAGGCCTTTAAAATCCCTGCACACAATCCCAATTCCAGCACATTTAGGACTCTTATTGAAAGCCTCATCAACATCGATCTTACTCGAACCAGCTGCAAGGGATTTCCAAGATAGTTCATAGTTCCCTTATGATATGACTGCTATTTCTTCTCTGATTCTGAACAATATCAACATTTCTGACTGCCCAAACCTCATTTGGCGATAGGGATGCCGAGGAAACCAATTCCATGGGATCAATTTGAGTTCCCTGGAAGACAAACTCACATCTTGCCTTCCCAATCCCCCAACTTAATGCAGCAATGAGGGAACGCCCTTTATCATCAATTTCTTTATTGCACGGAAACATTTGTTTCTTGGTCTTAATGGTTCATAGCTACTATATCACGGATCCCACTCATGCTTTTAACGTCTAAATTGAGATAATATATTTAATGGTTTTCTATGTTTAGAAACATTTTCGCCTTCTTACTTCCTTCTATACTTAGCATAAGATCTCTTTATCTAGTTTACAGAAATTAACTTAGTAGTTTTTTTAAAGTGTCAACAATATATAATAGTTTTTTTTCCTAAAATGTCCCAATCTTTTATTGAACTGTTGACTTTCTCATATTTAACTTCAAAAAATTATACACTAAGAGGGATACTTTAAGAAAAATTTAAAAAAATGTAATAGACAAAACAAAAGTGTATAGAATATTAAACCAAACCGTTGGCGGGGAAGGAAAAAAACCAAAGCCTTCAACAAAATCCCATTTTTCAAGCTTGAAATTATCTACTTATCAATGCTATATAATGTCTTATTAATCATCCAGATCCAGTGGTTTGCATTAAAAAATCAATGATAATTACATTTCTGGTTTTGTATTTAAATATTTTTAAAATAAAAAAAAATCCCTCTTGAATGCCTACACGAGCAGATAAACGGAAATCTGGAAATCAATTTCCAGGTTGCAACACATTCAAAATCTCCGTTGAAGCCATTGCCAAGCAGCTTGAGAAGCAGGCTGGAAATCCCTTGTTTCCTAATCCAAGGACTTTCACACCTTCACCAAAATTTGCAGTTCTCATGACTCTTCTTTTCTCAGATTTCGGATTCTAGCTTGCTGCGCAAGGAACTTCTCTTGCTGAGCCCGTTTTTCAGCAAGGGCTTCCTCATCAAGTACTTGGATTGGGAACCACTCTGGCAACCTTAACCAGCTGCCACTGCCGATCTTCTGTGAGTTCTCATCATCCTGATACACAGACTGATTGTAGTCCCTCAACACAGATTTTAATTTAAGAAAAGCAAAATCTGCTGTGGTGCCCGCGATGGCCAAAATAGCTGAGTATTTAGCTGCACCAAGTTGACCTCCTACAATAACGAGAGAGAGAAAAAACATTTGTTCAATCCCACGTCATGCTTAAAAGGTCAGGTTTAGACCCATAGTATTCAATCACACAACATGCTGCTCAGGTTTAGTCCTAAATTATTGTATATTTATTACACTTATCCATGCCTTGTTATTATGGGTATGCCATTAGCAACTATATCTAAACCAAAAAATTTTCAAAGTCGTTCATATCTCTTAGCGTAGGAACTCCTACAAACTGCTAAATTTTCTCAAACTCCAAATATCTCTCAACAAAGAAATTTCCACCAAACCCAGGCACTTCAAAAAACTGAAAATGTTGTCTACAACAATGAGCAACATTATTCTTGAAAAGTCCAGGGGGAGAAAAAGTTGCAGCTGAGATGATTTTGAATTTTATTTGCATGACCATTTCCAACAATGAAGCATCCTATCAAACAAGATACTAATGCCAAACTATATGGAAATTTTGGAATATTCAGGAAAAAGAAAAATACACAAAGAAATGTGGGGGAGGAAAAAACACAACTTTTAAAACGGAATCACAACAAAGTTCAACATGAAAGGTTAAAAAGGAAACCATCAATCTCATTGTACAAGACTTTGTCTCAGTCTAAATGGCATCATGAGTTATTATACGGTCCAAAATACATATAAGGCTGCGTTGCAGCAAATAGCTCAACGATGAAATTATGTGAAAAGGAAGAAGCAAGAGTTGATTTCTCATCAATATACAAGAGAGTAAAAGTAGCAGAATAGAACCTTGCAGACGACCTAGAAGAGCACCCGTTCCAAATCCAGCTATTGCAGAGTTCAACAGGTCATCAGGTCCAGTTTTTCTAGTTGCAATCACAAATTCACGTGCCCCTGATCAATTAGATAATTCATTCCAGTTCAATTCAGAGCATCAAATTAATTTAAGCATTGTTGTCGAGGCATGGCCTTTTTCCATCATAAACCCATTTCAGTCATTTGATCCAAAGATAAAACAGTTGCCAGGATGCTACTTTTCTTGACACTCCTATTCAACATGTACTCTGCCTATAATGAATTCACAACCATGGAAATGACAATTGAAATCTAGGATGAAATGTTTTTCCTTCTGAAATCCAACAATTGGGGAACCCCTGGTGTTTGATAATATTACACTGATATCATATGATATATGATACCGACTTGATCTTCACTTAACACATTTCCCTGCCATGGAGCTTAACAATTCCCATTGAAAAAACCAATAGGAAGCGATCTGGAAACAGGGAAGGGGAGGGGGAGGAGGAGTGGGTTTGCTAAGGGAGACAATTGCTGACAGGAATGCATAACAAACCTGTTCTTGGTTCTTTGCTTTCTTATCTAATATGCAGAGGCACCTAAAAAAAAATATTCCCTATAATCAGTAAAGCGTGCTTCATTTGTTTAACAAGATGTTATATTCCTTCTCAATATTTGAACTATCTATTCATCAAAGTGTTCGCACAAGGCCAATTAAGAATTATACAGGTGGTGTTACAAGGGACAATGGATTTAAAGACTACAAGAATGCAAGGGTCACCCTCTATGCTGGAATGCCTTCAACACATACCCGACATTCAAGGACATCATTTCATAGGTAAGAGGGCAATGGCAGATATGAGTTCTTCAAATGGGTCGTTTGTTGACACAGATGACATGTTCTTAAGACAATGCACCATGTATCAATTTTCTAGGTAGATGGAAGAGTGAAAATTGAAACTTGATGAGTGACTAACTCCAGATTATCAATTTAAATACACTCAGGTGAAGCTTAACTAACGGAGAAAATCTCCTTTCAAACAAAGAGTCCGACCTATTCGCTTTATAAAACAACGGTATAGATTAATTAAGCAGACATTAAACAAAACAAGTAGCATACCCAACCAACATGGTCAAAAACCACCATGACAACATGGCTTTGAAGCTGCATAAGCTCAAGATTTAAGAAAATAAGTAAATACATAATCACACCCATACACACAAATTAAAGAACTTACCACAATAGCAACCAGTGACAATGGCAAAATTAGCTGCATAGCTAGCAGAAACGTTCGCAAGACCGAGCGTTTTCCGATGCTTCGAAACTAACCCAACTCCAGAACCAACAACCCCTGCGCGCAGAAAATCCCATTGCTAACAAATCCGCAACAACAACTACAAGTAATCTCATTCCCTCAATAAAACTTAAATACAAAAAATAAGGGGAAAAAATCCAGCTCTGAACTCGAACCAATAACAACTGCTTCTCCAGATAAAAACAAAGTAAATAAAAATCGAATCCGAGAAGGAGGCATAAGAGCCCAATAAAATCGTGATCCTAGAAACAAACAAGTGAGGAAATAAACAGAATACCTGCTACAACTGCGGGAATAAAAACGCGCTTCTTCCAATCATAAGACGATGAAACAGACGAAGGTGAAGAAAATGCATCTTGTCCATCAGGGGCTCCTCGATCCTCACCAACCATTTTCTTCGTTCTTATAAACTCGTACAAGTCAAACAACACCTCTTTGATTTCTTTTGATCAGACGATTTGCTGCCAGACCCACTGGCCACTGCTGGGAGATTGTTGGGGAAGGTCGCAGAAAGCAGAAGCAGCAAAAACGGACGTACCGTGCGGGGAGTGACCGGCGAGAGCAGAGACTGACCCGATGGGCCCGATCAATGAATTGGACTTAAAATGCCCCAGTAAGATCAGCCTAGCCCAAACAGAGAAGCAACCCCCTGAGCCTTTTTCTTTTGCCGAACAACCGAGTTAATCAACTTTTTTTTTTACTAAAATATAGGTATCCTCTTATTAAAGACAATCCTATTCGAGGCTAAAAAAAATAATTTTAAATATAACCTATATTGTTGCTAATTTAGACTTAATATTGATTTTACACCCTCTGCTCCTTCATGATAAGACCCTATTAATGAGTTTTATGAGATTAAGAAAATTCATTAAAAGTAGTTAAAAGTTAAAAAAAGGTAATGACTTGCCAAACCAATCCTCTATTCAGTATGGTTCATTTGGGAGGAGGAAGATGGGGAGGATGGAAAAGCTAAGAGTGAAAAAGATAATGGTATTTTTTAAGAATATGTCATGAATATTTCATTAAATTTTGTAAAAGATTTTATATTGAGAATCAATAGGTATGATCTTATAAAAGGAATAGAACGGATGATTCTTCATGTATTGTAAGAATACAAGGAATGGGGCATGCTAGGGCTCCGGTAATTTGTTTTCCTTTCCAACATTTCTTCCCACGGTTTATTCATTCAATCTTGTTCTACACTTATTTAATATGATTGAAACGTATTTAAAAAGGACAAGAGAAATTAATTTTTGAATTATTTAAATCAAATATGACTGCCCAAATTATCCTCTGCCTCATGTGAAACTTACTCCATGAAGAGGATTAAAATGTAAATGAAAATATTATATGAAGTCCATTCAGTTATTGAACAAGTTTGAAGAAGCTGTACTCCCTCCAACTCAATAAGAAACTCCTTCCGATCCTTAATATATACCTATTTAACTAATTTGATTAGATTAAAGATATTAGTAAGTTAGTTAATTATAAGAAATATGACATGTTTTTCCTAAAACACCATAATCATCTTTATTAATATCTTTCCTCTCTCTTCTACTTGATTATGTTGAAGGAGTATCATATGGGGTAATTTAAGAAAAAATAATAAATATGAGAAATATATCATATATTTACGACCAAAATCAACTCAACAATTAAGTCCTATATTAAGGACAGAAGAGTAATTTGTTATAAATCCAACTCAATGCCTTGCGTTACTATATATGCCCATTTATGAGGCTAAAATGTGCAAAGTACATTATTCTGAAGCCAGGGGACAAGGTGATATGAATGCTTTGAGAAGATTTTGTGTTCTCCTAAAACACCAACATGTTCTTTGACATCATTCCATCAACAGTATCTAGTAATCAGTGCACCAATAAAAGTTCAAAAGCAGTAATTGCTGAGAAAATTTTTCTTCAGAAACAATATATGTTCATGCTCCTGTTGGAACATACACAGCTTTGGACTGCCTCAAATGCATGGGCAGTACCAGTAATGGTTACTTATGAAACAACAATCCTTAAAAAAATTGGAACTTTATCGTTCTCATCACTTTAATCAGATACAACGGAACAAGATACTTCAGTAATATCAGACATGTCCTCGTGTCTTGTATCTATGTTAATTTGTGCTTCTTAGTTACCCTTTATTGGTTTGGACTGTAGTAATATACTTATCTTAGGAATAATGAATACTATCAGTCTGGCCTTATATAACGGCCTTTTTCTATATATATAAAAATGGAGCTAGTTGCTATGAATGGACTGTTAGAACTAGGGCTTCAACTTGTTCAATCTTAATTTTCAAGGGACTGATAATTCTTGCTCTACATCTTCGCAAGCAGAGGATCCACTTGCTCCTTGCTTACTGTCCCATTCATGTTTCGGCACCGGAGGAAGCTCCGACCTGCGTGAGCCCGGGCCAATCTTTCTCTTGTGTTCTAGAATAGTTTGCATAGAACAAGTAAAATGTAAGAACAGAATCTTCGAAAAGCATATCTGCAAATTGGCTAAAATCCTTTATTCATCCCCATAGTTTTTCACAATTTTTACTATAGTCTTTATAGTAAAAAATTCGTATTTAATCAATGTACCATAGATTCTACAGACATGATCAGCTAAGTGTCAGTTTCTCACTCTTAACATGTAAGATCTATGTCAATAAAATGTGAGTGTAGTTGGCCATACCAGTTCAGCAAAATCTAACGGCACACTGACAGAGATTTAAAGACATAGATATAAAGTTCTGAAGTATAAGGATCAAATAAAATATAAGTTACTCTATAGACACCAGCGATTTATCCAATTTTAGAAGAGAAATAATACTTTTGCTGGTTATTGCCTGCCTCGTCATTGCAAGAAATTCTTCCCATTTGAATTTACGCAGTTCGCGCTTCTCTGGTTCTGGTAGCTCAAAGTTTGGCTCCCTCCCACACATGAAAGCAGCCCTGACAATAAATAAGATGCAAGCGCAGAGATCGTGGTGAATGGAAAAATGAAAGCCTTTACAATCCAAAATATATACCCCTGACTCCAGGAGATGACAAATTATTTGGCTTGTAGATTTTACACCCTTCTCTAGAAATTTTAAACCTCCAATATTGTCTTTCTTAATGAGGATTTAACAAATGCATATGGCAGCTACGGTAATGATTTTGTGCCGAAAGTTGGAAAGTTGAAGCAGAACTGATGGCTATATAGAAATGATATCACTTGTACTCTTACCATATGTAATACTTTCCATATACAGCCCTGGCCAATCAGAGAACGAGGAGAACTAGCAGCTCTGAAGAAGGTGAATATAATACCATACACGGCCATGCTCAAGCAGATATAACCCAAGAAACTTCCCATATATTAAGAAAATTCATCAAACAATGGCTAAGAAGAGGGGGGTCTCAAACAAATACATGATCTATGGCTGTTACGATTTAAATGACATTTTGAGTGTCAAACCATGTGAACATGAGCCAGTCTGCTCCTCGCAGCTAATCAAATAGAAGCCAAAGATATGCATATATTGTAATGATGATTTAGTAAAGAACGGCCTAAGAAGGAGCCATTGCAGGTAGCAAGAAGCTACAGCTTATGGTATTACCTATCGTACAAGTGAGCAGCCTCTTCCTGTGAACTAACAGTCCCCAGATGGATCTGTTTCTTGTCCACCTTTATAGCTGCTTGCCATTTCATATTTTTGAAATAGACACCTCTCATGAGACATGCTTCTTGATTATGTGAATTCTTTCTCCTGTGCCGCTTTCTGCGCTTGATAGGAGGTCCTGAAAAATGAGGGCAATGAAAGCCATCACCAGCAAATCAATAGCCATAAATAACTTGAAAAAATTCTCCAAAAGATGAAAACTGATTGGTTAAACAAAACTGTTCCAAAACAGAATCCAGACAAGTAAACACCCAAAACATGTCTGCCAACTTCAGATCCACTAATGAACTATTGGGCCAGCAGGTGATTTATCAGTAGCTGTAGCTGATCACACAAAGTGAGCTTACAGGATATCCATTGATTTATCAGTAGCTGTAGGTGATTTATCATTGATTCGTTATAATTGATTAACGTTGCTTTTTTCTGTATTTTAGTATCTTCAAAACAATATTTTCAATAAAGCTGATAAACTCGTATGGGAAATCTTCCGATGATGAATTGATGAATCCATTATCGATGACCGCTTAAAAGGTCATAGGAGTGATCAATTAAATGAATCAGCTGTATCAAATCAGCTCATTAAGCAAGCATTAGTTGTCTTCTGGAAACTCATTTAACACTGCTGTTCCAGAAAGTGAGAAAGCTAGTAACTATACTCGTCTTCACAAAGTTATGGTGAAGAGGTATGAAGAATTTAGCACATCTTTGAAGGTTAAGAGGGAATCAGGAAAGTCTCGTAAGTGACAGAAAATATGATTTGTAGCATACCCAAAGTAAGGGATATAAGTTACTTTATGTAGCACACATCATCATTAAATCTTCCAAAACTACATTTTGGCCTGGTCCCTTCATTTTCTCCCAAATTCTTGGCCTCCCCCATTAACTCAGTTCTCGTGTTAATGTTTCATGAGAACAAGATAAACTACAATATTATGCAATTATAGTCCACTACATATTGATGAATATCGATACATTAAGTTTAACAAAATACATAAAAACACTTACTATAAGGCAATATGTAGACTGTAACTTCAGTTAGTTTGTCATAAACTAAATCTCATGCCTTAGGGTAGGAAAAAGATACGTCTCTCAAACAACAAACCTGAAACTTGTTCACTGGGCTGCTCCTTTGATGGGCTAGAGCCAGATGCATTGGAGGAGCCTGGTTCTTCTTTCACAACGGTATTCTATGAAACAAAATTAAAAGACTTCAGTAGAAGATTCTAGCAACCTAAAACATAAATAATTAAAGGATCCAACAGCAAAACTTTCTAATACTTATCAACTTAGAAAATATACGTTACGATCATATCCGTTCATCAAATGCTAAAAGATCTGATTCTAGATGGTATGGCTTATGGATTAGGATGACATATATATTTCGTAAAGGCATTGATTTTTCATCAAGAAGTTTTCTGGATTTATTCAGCCAATTGAAGAAGTGAAAAAACAAAAATTACAAGATAATTTCTTTAGCACCTTGCTTTCTTCCAACAGACAGTTCGGTCTTTTCCTTTCACTTTGGCGATTAGATAACTGAGCAACGATACCCAGAGGACCAAAACTAACCAAAATAAATAACACGAACTTTATATATCAAGCTTAGTGATTGGAATTTATAGGTTTTCACTCATGAAATCGCGATGAAAATATATTATATTAAATCAGAACATGTTATCTTAGGAGAGCTGCTAGTACTAAAATTGAGCATAGAACCTCGGATTTTTAGCTTTCTGATGTATTCTGATAATGAAAAAAGAGGATGGCTTCATTGGCTCAAAACTGCTTCCTAACCCAGTGCTTCAATTGGATATGCAGGCATGCAATAAATTATTAGAAGAGTGGTTACATTTCTAATTAGAGAGTAGTTCATCCATATGTCACACCGAGCAAAAGAAGACACATGATGGGATTATGGAGACCGCCAACCTCAGATACTATCTTTTTTACTATTTTCTTCCGCAATGATCAAATGGAGGTCCGAACCAAAGACCTCTCACTCCATACCTAGCCACACCACTAGCACTTTCAGTGACTTCTATTTTTCCATACAACATTTACTGCTTCTAATTGTATTTCTTACACTGTCCAGAATGCTTGTATCATCTGATGCCACAGGATTTGAGCTCTTAAGTTTAGCACGCTGAGTTGATTGTTCATAAGCAATTAAATTCTCACAATACAGAGGAAGTGGAGTGACAAAGGAGCTGTTCCCTGCAAAGGTCCGGTAACTTTGGTAAATAGCGTCAACTCAGTCTAAAATACAACTCACCACAGTAGCCTCTAAACAACCCAAAGCATGGTTATCCTCCTTCCATTAGGAACAGTTCACAACAGATATGATTTTACCAATATTTACCTGAGCATAGTCCCAAAAGTCTGCGCCTTCTCAAGCTTACCATGGTAATTTGCAATATCTTAACAAGTCATTAGAGCACAATGTTTAACGCAAAAGCCTTCCTATCATACCGATCTTTTCCTTGGACACAGGAGCTAGAACACAGTCAAGAGTTTCAGGCAGATGAAAACTATTAAGTTAGAGCTATGAAGGAAGAAAACAATTGAAAAAAAAAAAAAAGTAAAATGTAGCAAAACTAGGTGAAGAGAACATGTAATAACAAAATAATTCACAACAAATGAGTAATGAGTGGTGACTATGCCATTTGCAAAAGATCTACTTATAGTATTTATAATATAATTATATGGTCTTCTTAGCCCAAGTACCTAAAACAAGTGGATAAATATCGGAGGGTAGCGAAAAAGGGAAAAAGCCACTCATAATGAAACATTAAGAAAGAGATTCTCATGCAAGGACGGCTAGCAGTAAAATTAAAGCAATTAATCGGTAATGCCTCCACGCATAGACCACCTAACCCAAACCTATATGTATAAACAAAACATTAGAGTAACAGATAAACCTGGATCATGATATGATTATAGTCTCCTTTATGTCGAATGAACCTCTATAAGAACCACAGAAATCGACAGTCCGATAACAACAAAAGCAGAAGGTATGATTAAACCTTGAAAGCTCGCCCGCGATAAGTTGATAGCCTTTCTTGAAGGTTAAGAGAAACTAAAGTTGACAAGAACAAGTTGATATTGTAATTCACACACAATCAAAACCCCAGAGACCCGTAATATTGAATGGGATTAGAATTTGAAAACATGAGCTCCAAATCTCTCTGATTGGGCAGAAGTCAACTCATTTAGCCACCCACTTTGTCAAAGGGATGACCCGATTGACCATAAACAACATTTTACCAGAACCACGCATTCGAATTACCCAAAGGACCAAAATTCAGGAAACACCCATAAGACCAAGTAAACAAGGAGGAGGACCAAGTTGTTTTAATTTTCAAGCCGTCAACGCAGAATGCCCATGACTAAGAACAAGAGAAACCCACAAAGAGACAACAAAGAAAAGCACAAAGACATTGAAGAGAGGAGGACATTATTGGCAGTACCTGAACCAAAAGCGTCGGATGGGGTGAGAATTAATTGCTGAGAAGGCGCAGAACCCAGAAGACAGAACTCACGAGGGGATTAGAATCTAGCGGAAGAAGAAGGTGGTAAGTATGGTATGAGTCTATGAGATATTGTATATGTTGTTAATTGTGGCTCATGCATCTGTCTTCTACCACCTTTTTGTTTTCATGTTTCTCTCCTCCCATTTTATGTGTGGGCTGGCGAGAGAGAGGTCGTAGTGGTGGAGGAGGTGGTATTATGGCGTGGAGAGGGAGAATCTTAGAGAGAGAGGGTTGGACGAGAGAATGGGAACGTAGTTACTGTGCGGAGTACTTTGGTTTATTGCTGAATGCCAATGCTGCCCTTTGAATGGCCAACCCATACCATTGGGTTTAGGTGTACGGAAGACATGGCCAATTTACCCTGTTACCCTCACTATCTTAGTACTGGTATGCGAGTTCAATTATTCATCACCCAAGTCGAAAGTCAAAACCGATTAAAAGAGGTAAGGACATTAATGTACCTTAATCATTAATGCTTACACATCATTTATTTATACATCTTGGCAAATGAGGTTTAAGTGGTTCACAACAAGGGCCACACAATTCCATTGTACTACCTCCAGTCTTATTTATAAGAGCTAGTTAACTAATTTGAGGAGATTAAGGAAAGAAATTAAGTTAGTTATTTGTAATAAATATGTGTTGTCTTTTCTAAAATATCCTTACTAATCAAGTGTATTGGTTAGAAATACTATTATTAGAAAGAATATCTTGAAAAAAATACATAAATATGATAAACAAAATGAATTGGAGTTTTATAGGATCAAAATAAAAATCAAACAAGATTTTATATTAAAAACCGGAGGTAGTAATATATTAATACCCAATAATTTTTTAGGCATATCATTTATCTAGAAATTCCGTTTAATAATTTTATTAATTCTTTTTTCTCTTTCACTCTTCTTTACAAGACCAAAATCTATATGTTCAGATTTTATTACCAATGATTCTATGAGCTTAAAGAAATTGTCTTGTCTATGTGGAAGATGTATGATTTTATTTAGAATTGTAGTGAGAGAATAAATCATTTAATTTTAATGTAACTAAGAAACTAGAAATAGCAACTATCCTAAATTAATTGAGAAGCAAACATTTTACCCATATAAAAAAGAAAGTTGTCAACTCTAACAATTGAAAGTGTAAGAATTGATTCAACAAGTAAAATAAAATGGGATGATGATAAAATAGAATTTTTGTTAGGAAATGATAATTAGAATATGATAAATATTTTCATATCTTAATTTGCATGCATCGAATTTATTTCCCATTTTATTTATGTCATTACATGATGAGAAAAATCTAAAAATTAGAAATTCAATTTGCGGGTGTGGGGTTGTATGAGTGAGAGGGGCAAATATGGAAGGAGAGATGGGAAGGGAAAAGGGACAGAAGGGTAATAATCGAGAAAGGCGAGGAGAAGAGGAGGGAATAAGAGGAAAGAATGAGGTGGTTGGGAGGGAAGGGGAGGGACACCGACGAAACGGTGATTGGATGGACGGCCTTATAAGGCCAATTAGATAATGTCCCGCCAACCTCTTCTCGCTTTTTGTTTTCTTTCATTTACTCTAAAAAAAAAAAGAATTCAGTTTTATCAACAGGTTGATTGACGCCCGCCCATGTTTTCACCGCTATGATCCCACTTTCTATCAACGAGACTATTAGATTTTTTTTTTTATAAACTACTTTTTAATAGTGATTTACAGAATACGAAGTAAATATATAAAAAAATTTTATTTTGACTTATGTGAAACGTATTTATAGAAAATTTTCACCGTTTTGCCAAATCAAAAAGTACTTTTAAAAAGTATTTTTCTGTAAAACAAGGCATATTCTTGTATATATTTACTTCGTATACCGTAAAATCACTCTAAAACTATAGTTTGCTTTCCATCCAAACATTCTCTAATTCTTAGTGGCGAAAATTCTAATTTTGATTTTGACTAATGTAGATAAGTTTTTCATAATCAAAATATTAGAATTGGTGGTCTAATTATGATTGAATCAGGAAAAATTTATCTATTCATGATTAAAATTTATATTATTTAATTAAAATATATAAAAATATGTTATTAGAATTTATAAGTAATGTTTAAATGAAAAAAAAGGCATCCAATTAAACATTCATGTATAAATCACACATAATTTAATAAAATATAATTATTAAAGTACAAATACAATAGCCTACCACTTTTTCCGGTTTAAAATATAAGCTAAACTTTGTTAGAAGGTTTGATTTTTTTTTTATAAGATAACATTTACTTTTGTCCAAGCATTTAATGAGTTTTTTTTTCAATTTTATTTTCATATATTCTCTTTCCTCTTTGATTTGTTTATTACATCTTTTATTTATTTTCTTCATTAATAAGGACATGTTTTTAAAAAAAAAATGCATAGCTTACATATTTATTGTTTGGTTTTAATCAGTTTTTTGATAAACGTAAATGGATAAAGTTTAACCTATATTTTGAATCGGATGTAGTGTTTTTTTAACTCAAAATAATGTCATTTTAAGTTTAGCGGAGAAAAAATATAAATTTAATTTGATCAATTTATCCAAAATTTTTAGGCAGACCAATAAAAGAATTGACTCATTAGTTCATCGCCAGTTTAACCGGAAACAACTGCAAGTTTTGAACTATGCTTCTTTACAAGATAAGTCATACTTTTACTAGTCAAAGATACTTTTGACAGCTCCTTCTCCAAGTTTTCTCATTCGCATGTTAGAGTTAATTAATCTCGTATATATATTTATGTTTTTTTTTTTTTTGCTTTTGCCAGACGTATGTATATTTATGTAATAAGTTATAGTGAGACTTCTTAGTTCTTATATATGCATTTTTATTTTTACCTTGGTTCAAGGATAGGTTTAAAAGGAGAGGACTGATAGAATTTATTTTTTTAAAAAAATTACTTATCATAATCCAAAAATTGATTAAGAGTTTGTATATATAGGGAGTTCAATTTTCAAACAAGTTGACTTTAAATAAATGACATACATGTTGCAGTTTTATTTAAAACTATGGTTGCCGTGGCTTTTAATGTGAAACTAAATAAGCCGTCAATTTCTCGGGTCACATTTGATCTGAATTATACATGAGAATATTGTGCATTTAAATTATAACTATGTTTTTCACTCAATTTGTTCTGAATTTATAATCATATATTACCTCTGGTTCTTAATATAAGAAGTAGTTGATTAATTTGATATAATTAAACTTGTTAAATTATTAAATCCGTCACGAATTAATATTGTTTTTCAAAAATACTCCTCATCTAATGAATGAAATGCTACCATTACATTAATGATCCTTAATTAAGAAAGGTAGACATTGAGGGGCATTATTAAAACTAATAATTTAACACTTGAAACATTTGTATTTGTAATTGCATGCTCCTCCTATTTAATATAAGCAATAGATGAGAGAGACTTGACACTACACATTTATATTAAGAAATGATTTTGTGTCCGGAAACATGTTAACTTTCCTATTTTATCCCAACAAATGAGTATGATATAGAATAGTCGGATAATAAATGGATAGTTGAATGAATATTTATCGAGGGTATTTTTATGAATCAAATGATTAAAGATTCAATAAACATAATAAAAAAAATCAATTATCTTTTTCATCATCTTTCATTTGAAAAAAGAACTCACACATCCATCATAATTTCACGAGAGTCAAACCCACAACATCACGTTTAAAAAAAAACACTTAAGGAAAGAATTTAGTACTATTAGGGTTAGAAAGCCTTGGTAATTTTCTTTTAAATTTCATTCCCTATATTAGGCAATGCAAGGAGAAATCTGGATCATCTCTGAACTTGTTTGGCATCACAGGGAAGGCTACAGATTGAATTCTGTGGTGTGAAAAGCTATTTCAAGCACTTTGATGATGTTTGGTTGGGTTTCAAACCCCCCTGACCTTTTTTGCACAAAACTTATTTTTCGGTTTTTTACTTTTCCTTGAAATTTAAACATTTTAAAATTAATTTTTCAATATATTATCTAAATAAATTATTTTTTAATTGATACTAGTAAAAAATATATCCAAACATGAATTACATGATAGAAATTAATTTTTATCATGGCTTCAGTTTCCAAAACTTAATTGATATAAAAATTATCTTCAACAATGTTAATCTAAACAAGCCCTTAATCATCTCTACTCTCACAAGCTTTACTCTTCTTCTGGTTTTTAATATAAAAGTTTGTTTGACTTTTATTTTAGTTATAAATATAAGAACCTAATCTACTTTGTCTTTCATATTTATCCATTTTTTCTCAAAGTAGACATTGTAATAATGGTACTTCTAAGCAATACACTTAATTAGTAAAGATATTTTAAGAAAGATAACACTTATTTATTGTAAATAACTAA